GCTTTTGACTGTTTCATCATACGACTGATTTATGTTAAGCTTGTGTCCATTAAAGTCCCCATTACTTTTTCCACAGCAACAGCTGTCTAACTATGCCTTCCCCTTTTATACTTAGGAAATTGAGTTTTGGTATCCAAGTGTAGGGCTTTACATTGATTTCTGTTAGATTTTGTGTCATTAGATTCAGCCCAATGATCTAGCCTATCAAAATCTTTTTAGATTCTGATTCTATCATCCAATATGTTAGTTATCTGCCCCCTTCCTCCCAGGCCAAGCCCCATTTTGTGTCATCTGCAAATTTGATGACATCTCCTCTGTGCATTTATGCAGATCACTGATTAAAATCAGCCCAGGACAAGTCTGGAACCCTGAGGGATTCTACTAAGGCCAGCTAGGGAGCACAGTTGTTAGGGCCCTGAATCTGGGGTCAGGAGGACTTGCATTTGAATCCAGACTCAGACACTTACTATCTGTGTCAAGTCACTTCATCCCTGTTTGCCTCAGTTTACTCAACTGCAAAATGGAAATAATAATAGCACTTCCCTCTCTGTGTTGTTGTATAGGTTGAATGGCATAACATTTGTAGAGTACTTAGCACAGTGCCTGGCACATAGTAGGTGCTATATGAGTCCTTATGGGTCAGTCGGATGGTTGAATGGACAAAGTACTGGGCCCGGAATCAAGAAGACCTGAGTTCAAATTCTACCTCAGACACTTACACTATTTGACCTAGTCACTTAATTCTGTTTGCCTTAATCCATGGAAGAAGGAAATGGCAAACCATTCTACTATCTTTGCCAGGAAAATCCCATGGACATTATTGGTGTGCCATGGCCCATGGGGTCATGAAGAGTTGGCTATGATTGAACAATAACAAATGCTTATGTCCTCCCTCCCCTGGAGATCTGCCTGGTACCATGTTGGTATTGAACCACTAACAGCTAATCTTTGGGTCCAGTCATCCAGTGATTTCTGGATCTAAGTAATTGCTGTTCCACATCTCTCCACCTTCTCCATGATAATAATGAGATTCTTTACTACAAGTTTTGCTAAAACTTAGGAAAATTTGTCCACAGCATTTCCTCCCAAAGAATGAGTAATCCTGTCAAAAGAGACAATGAACTCAATGGGGCCAGTGGTGTTCTGGATGATACCAAGCTGGCTCTTTGTAATTACCACTTCCTTCTCCACATGTTGGCTAATCTTTTATCATCCTCTCTAGAATTTTCCCAGGAATGGAAGCCAAGCTCACCGACCTCTAATTGGAAGACTCTGATGTCATCACTTTCTTGAAAATGTGGACTGCATTGTCCCCTTTCCCACCTTGTAGGCCATTGCCATCTTCCATGATCTTTCAGATATCACTGACGGTGACCTGGCAATCCTATTCACCACTTCTTTCAGCACCAAAGATATTGTTCACCTGGGCTAGATGGCTCAGTGGACACAGCACTGGGTCTGGAGTTAGGAGACCTGAATTCAAATTTGACCTCAGACATTCCCTAGCTGTGTGACTCTGGGCAAATCACTGAACTTCTGTCTGCCTCATCTGTAGAATGTGAACAATAATAATACCAACATTCCAGAGCTGGTCTGAAGATCAAATGAGATCATATTTGTCAAGCACTTAGCACCGTGCTTTGCACATAGTAGGTGTTTCATAGATGCTCTTTTCCTTTCTTAGTATCTCTGTACTTATATTAAACACCAACTTCATGCTAGTCAGAATGGTTCTCTCATTTCTAGTGTGAACCTGAAATGCCTGATTGAAGAGTGTGTTTGCATTTTATCCTGCAGACCACGGGGAGCCACTGAAGAGTTTTGAGTTCAGAAGTGACGTGGTCGTGCCTTGGTCACAGAAAGATTATTTTGGCAGCTAGGTAAGGAATAGATTCAAGAAGAGAGAGCCTTCTTGGAAGAAGAGAGACCACTTAGGAGGCTACTCTGAGAAGTGATACGGACCTGAGAGATGGGTGTTAAAAAAGGGGAGTGATTCGAGAGATGCTGTGGAGTTGAAATCGACAGGACTTGGGGATGAATTGGATATGGGGCTGGAAGGGATGGAGGGAAGAAGACTCTGAGATTCTGAATCAGGTTGGCTGATTGTCTCAAAAAGAAGGGAAGTTTGGAGGAAGGGCAAATTTAGGTGGAGAAGAGGAATTCTGTTTTGGAGGCACTGAATTGGATGCAGCCTGGCAGTGGACTGCAGGGTACGGAACATCGATATGGATTTGAGCTCAACTCCCACATCAGATATTTACTAGCTTGATGAATCTGGGCAAGTCACTTCATACTAAAGAAAGTAGCTAGCATTTAGATAGCATTTTAATGTTTGCAAAGCACTTTATGTCATCTCATTTGGCCCTCATAATAACTCTGTGAGGTAGGTACTATTATTATAGTGCCCATTTTGCAGATCAGGAATCTGAGGCTCAGAGAAATTAAGTCTAGGATTACACAGCTAGTTAATGTCAGGGGCTGTATTTGAACTCAGGTCTTCCTGACTCCAAGTGCACCAATCCACCCATTGTGTTACCTAGCTGTATACTTAATCTCTCTGGACCTCAATTTCCTCATGCATTAAAGGAAAGAGTGGATATAATGCTCCCTAAGGTCTCTTCAAGCCCTACACATGTGATTCTCTGTGCCAGAAGGTCACTGAGAAAGAAATGTCCAAAGGGCAGTTGGAGATGTCAGATAAGAATTCAAGAGAGAATTTAGTGTTAGAAGTATAGACGTGAATATATCGACAATAAAGAGAAGAGTATGAGACACATAATTGATTGGGATCACTGAGATAGAGTGGAGAGAAACAAGGCGAGAAGAAAAGGACCTTGGGGGGAAACCAGCACTTAGGGATTGGAAGATGGTTGATGAGTCAGGAAAACAGCCTGAGAAGGAGGGATCAGAAAGACAGAAGAACCAGGATAAGAACATTGTGGAAGCCAAATAGAGAGAGGAAAGTCTTCATTGGGAGGGTCTGGATAGCAGGGTCAGAAGGCCAAGAGGAACAAAGAAATGTGAGGGCTAACACAAGACCATGACATGGTGTCCAGAGCATGTAGCCTGTACGTAGCATCTCACTCTTGACTTAGCCCTCGAATGACAAATTACATTTATTCCTGCATCCCTCTAGTTCATCTCCCTGTCTCTGTTTTGGTGTGAATGCTCCTGGTCTGCCATAAGACAAGCAAGGGCAGCTTTAAGAATAAAGAGGAACCTTTCATCAGTGATGAAACACACCTCAGGAAACAGGGGACTGACTCTCATGGTGGTATCTAGGTTTTCTACCTCTGACTCCTCTCTATCTTACTCTTTCTGTTCTGGCCAGTGTCTATAAGCCAGTGAGGTTGTGGCCCTTTCACCACTGTCCCTGGTCCTGGTCCAGATTGGCAACATTGCTCCCTCCCCTTTTTCTCTGGGCAGTGGTAAATGCTTATAGGCCCTCACGGGGGATGGGGGGAGGAGGTGGAGGCTGGTGAATGGCTTGTGTTCAGGAGTTCTGAGCTGCTAAGTCTGCCACCAACACCCCCAGCTCCCAAGTTGCCTAACCAGCAGTAAATTGGCCAAGGTCAGAGACACAAAGCAGATTAACTGATTGGGACTGGGGTCCTGAATGAGTGGTTGCTATGCTCCTAGCCTGACAGATATAGGGAGACCCAACCTCAATAAACAAACAAAAATTAACTTTAAGTAAAAAAAAAAAGGTGTTTTCTAGCAGCTAAAGGAACATCACGTGCTTGGTGTTTAATTGATAAACAGTTTACAGTCACACTGCTCTGTCATTTTCCTTTACGATTCTTTCATTGGTCTTAAAAAGGCAAAGTCCTATTTATAGATTCTCACATGTCACTGGCTTTGCAGTTATAGCTCTGAGATAAAATGAAATTTTGTGTGAGTAGGACATAGGGGAGTGTGCAATGTAGTGAAGGACAGTACAGTGTTGCGACTACAGAATTATTGTTTGAAAAATGCCACTAGTGTAGTCATTCGGCAGTTAGGTGGCACCATAGTGCATAGCGCACTGGGCCTCAAATAACACCGCAGATACTTCCAGCTGTGTGACCCTGAGCAAGTCACTTAACACTGTTTGCCTCAGTTTCCTCATCTGTAACATGAGCTGGAGAAGGAAAAGACAAACCATTCCAGTAACTTTGCCAAGAAAACCTTGAATTGGAGTCACAAAGAATTGCACACAACTGAAAATGACCGAATGAAAAAAAGTTCAGTTTAGGGGTCATGTAAACTCTGAGAAAGTGAAAGTGAAAATCCTAAACTATAAGAGAATAACTGAGATTGAATTCCATTTAGCAAATATTTATTAAATGTCTGCTGTGTGATACATACTGAGGACACAGAGATAAAAATGAATACTCCATCCTCCTATACACATACACACACATACACATCAGAGCACATGTGCTTACACACACACACAGTAAAACATAAGCTTCTTGTAGTGAGCTCTGGCTTCAAATTCAGTACCCTGTTTTACAAGTCCTGCAGGTGAGAAATGACAAGATGAGCCTGAGAAATCCCTTGATATCCACCCCAGCTCAGTGTTATACACACTGTGTGACCTTGACAAACTTTGGTTTCCTCATCTGTAAAACTGAAGCAACTATGATTTGATCATCTACCCTACAGGATACTTGTAAGAAACAAATGAGCTAATGCATAAGAAAGCACGATGTAATAAAAAAACAAAAAAGTGCCACATTGATATTTCTTCTTGTTGCCACAAAGGGAAAAGACTTCATTATTTCCCCTTCCTTATGCCAGTGGGCACTGTCCTCCCCTCCCAGCCCCAGACACTCTGGACAGTTGGATAGATCACCCATGCTCCTGTACCAAGTGACCAGGCACTCCAGTTAACTCCCCCTATACCTACCTTATTCTTTTTCGCTGCACACTGCTTCCAAGGAGTTAATAATTCAGCAGAATCATAAAACTTCCAACCAATAACCTCCGACCAACATTTGAAGGGAACGAGCCCCCTATAAAACCAGACTCTCAGGGCCAGGCCAGGCAGTGTTTTGAGAGAACATCCCTCCACCATGAACTTCTCAGGAAAGTACCAGCTCCAGTCCCAAGAGAATTTTGAAGCCTTCTTGAAGGCTGCTGGTAAGTGCTTAGGAAACAGCCTTTGGGCATCAAATGTTGGGATCAAAGGGACAGGGGCATTATACTTGTGGTTGCCAGAAGGGATGAACTTAAAATACTAACAGGGAATCTGCAGCAAGTGAAATAATCCAACTAGTGAGGCTCTGGGCAGGCATTCGGGAGCTTGGGTTGGGTGTCAGGGTGAAGAACAACAGAATGAGGAGTCAGATCTGAATGTGAGCCTTGGCTCTGCTCTTAATTCATTCGGTGACATGGATTGCATCATCTCACTGCTCTCAATGTTGGCTTCCTCATCTGGAAAATGGGGATAATAATACTCCCTACCTCCCAGGGCTGTCAGGAGACCCAAATGAGATCCTTTGGCTCTTAGATGCCTTCTAGGTCTGAATCTCTATTGTATCAACCAGGTCTACCTGATGACCTCATACGGAAGGCAATGGATACCAGGGGAACGTCCGAAATTGTACAAAATGGAAATCACTTCAAGTTCACCTTAACAATGATAACCAAATCCAGGTGATGAGTTCACTGGGGGAGGAGTGTGAGCTGACCTCTCCACTGGAGGAAAAGGTCAAGGTAAGAATATAACTTAATTCAATTTAGGGCATGTATTCATTAAGGTGCCGCGTATTAGCCTCTGGGCTAAGCCCTGGAGGAGATGCAAAGATTAGCTAAAACTTGGTCCATAACCCCCTGGAGTAAGCTTGCAGCCTGCTAGGGAGATAAGACACAAAAATATCTCTGTTAGCCAATGTGTTGCAAGATAGGTAGATTAGATGAAAAGCAGTCTGGTGGAATATGGTATAGAGGACCAGCCAGGAAGCAGTGCCTCCAGCCCATGCTGGCTGTGTTCAGTAGCTGACTTGTTCCTTCATAACCCAGCCCCTCCTACATTTTCAGTCTTCTCACACCTTACTCCCTGATACATACTCTGCCATCCAGTGACCCTGGCTTCCCAGCTGTTCATGAAACGAGACCCTCCATCTCTCAGCTCCAGCATTCTCCCTGTCTATCCCCCATGTCTGGAATGCTCTCACTCCTCCGCTCAGACTGCTGACTCTGCTGGCTTCCTTAAAGTCCCAACTGTAATCTCCCCCCACTCTTCTACAAGAAACCTTCCCCAACAGCAGATTTTCACGATCTAGCCAATAGCCCACAGATGCTCAGATTCCTTAAAAGTAATATGGCCAATCTTCAATCAACCTTGTCTTTGGCTGAAAAACAAAACAAACAACTTTCCCCAACCGCTTAGTTCTAGGGCCTTCCCTCTGTTAATTATTTCTCACTTATCCAGTCTATAACTTGTTTGTACCTGTTTGCTTATTGTTTCCCCCATTAGATTGTAAGCTCCTTGAGGGCAGGGACTGTCTTCAGTACTTAGTACAATGTGATACATCTTAGACGGTTAATAAATATTTATTGACTGACTCACAGACAGCAAAAGGAAGAGAAGAGAAAAGGGGAGAGGAGGAAAAGTAAGGAAAGGGCTAAGAGAACTAGAAAACAATCCAGCCAGTGAAGTATAGAAACAAGAAGTTCTGCAGGGAATCTGGCTTGGCCACTTACTCGAGGGGTGTGCCGGAGCCAGCTGAAACCGGCAGGACAGCGCCAGCCCATTGTTAAATTTTAAGTGTGAGCATTTACCCCTCAGAAAATAGCAAACGCTACAAATCAAGGACTGATTTATTGTTTTATTGATTGCCTACTTTAAAGTGATGAGAAGGTGTTAACACTGCAAATAATACTCAAATGTTAATACTACAGATTATAATGGAAATTTGTGTGTACATTTTTTCCCTCCAGAAAACCAGTTGTTGCACATTTACCAGTGCATCCCTGGCTCACCCCCAATCCCTAGGGCTTGCCAGAGCTAACTCTTCTGTCTCCCTACAGGGTGTAGTGAATCTAGAAGGAGGTAACAAGCTGGTGACAACTTTGAAAGGAATGAAGTCTGTCACTGAACTCAATGGAGATACAATCACCACCGTGAGTGATCAGGTGTTTCTCTTCCTGCTTGGTTGTGGGGGATGGATCCAAAAAGCATTTCGAGAACACGTACTAGGTGTCAAGTACTGGGGCTGCCAATAGAATAAGGGAGGCAGTGCCTGCTCTCAAAGAGGAGGGAAGAGGGGATGAGGGAAAGACAGGTGAGGGGATGGAGGACAGTAGGGAGGAGGGAGAAAAGAGAGGAGAGGGAAAACATGGAGGACAGTAGGGATGGAGGACGGAGAGGGGAGGAGTTATTGCCCAACACCCTGAGTAAAGTAACATGTAGCATTTATGGCAGACTCCCAGGGAGTTGGGTGGGTGACCCCTAAGGCTCCTTTCAGCTAAAAAGCCTTGATCCTATCATCCCTCCACCCCCAGTCACCTAATCCTCTACCCCATTCCTGTTAATCCCCCTTCAGGCATTAAACCCTTTTCCAGCTGGCATCTCTGTCATCCTTACACTGTGAACATTGCTGGGAATATTTATATTTTTTAATGGGGCCCTCGAAGACCCCAAAGACAGCCTCCCCAGGGTTCCCTCAGGAGGCATGGACAATCCAAACAAAAACCCAGAAAGATTGCCAAACCTATCTCTAGTATATCTAACATACTGGGGTCATTGACGGGTATGACATGCTGATATACTGCAAGACATTCCAGGAAAGATTAACACTGGATTTCTTCTTGGCTTTCAGACCTTTACCTTGGGTGATGTTGTCTGCAAGAGAATCAGTAAGAGAATTTAGACATGTCTGCTTTTCATTTATGTTTACTGTGTGAAATTGGTACAATAAAACATGGCTTGTTAAAAAAATACTGTCTTTTGAATGACTTTACAAGCATATGTTTATTCAAGGTTTTAATGATGCCTTTTATTCTTACATCACAACCATTTCTGAATTCACTGCACCTGCCCACCCACCCCCAATGAGCCCCACCCTATAACAAAGAAAAGCAGGCAAGCAAAACCAAACAACAAAGTGACTCCATTTGCTAGTATATACACCCTTCTGCACCCATAGTTACCCACCTCTCCAAGGAATGGAGGGAGCCAGAAAAAGTGAATAGTTTGAAAGATTTTTGCAAATTATCATTCACCTAGAAAGAAATGGTGCTGACTTTGGGCTTGATGGAATAAGTTGTTACCTTGTAGGGTGATTTTAGGGGGGCTTGTGACTCATGTCCCCCCATTCCTCACCAACACCCCCACAAGCACCATTATTTCTATTTCCCTAATTCTGTACCTAAAATGCGTAGGTAAGAATCATACCTTTAGATCAAAGTATTTTGAGTCCAAAAGCTCTTGGTTACAATGTGTGTATGTGTGTGTATGTGTGTATGTGTGTGTGTAGGTGTGTGTGTATGTGTTTTAAATGAGAAGGGTATTTTTTAGACCAGCTATGTAGAATAGGACCTTGAAGACACCAACTGAAGGACCCATTTTTCTAGTAAACAGTGAGGAAGATTTGGGTTATGAAGCTCACATCTGAGAGGGGAAGCCTAATTGAGGAGCACAGCCTTAACTTCGGCAAGGCAAGTGGACCTGTGTCCCAGGATTTAAAAGGACAACATGCAGTCAGCTCTGACAATCCTTTGGCTGCATGAGAACCACAGAGATGTAACCTGACTTACAGAATCACAGAATTTCAGGGGTGGAAGGAATTTCAGAGGCCATCTAGTCCAAACCATAGCTGAAGAAGAAGATTCCCTCTACATCACACCTGATAAATGATCATCCATAATTTGCATGAAGACCTCCAGTGAGAAAGAATCTGCTACCTTCCAAAGCAACCATGTCTCTGTTTCAAGCAGCTGGTGATGTAATGCTTAGGGTACTTGGCCTGGAGTTAGGAAAACCTGAGTACAAATCTTGTCTCAGATACTTCTTAGCTGTGTGACCCTGGGCGAGTCACTTTGCCTCAGTTTCCTCATCTGTAAAGTGGGTTTGATAATAATAGCACCTGCCTCCCAGAATTGCTGTAAGGATCACATCAGACCATATTTGTAAAGTTAGCAAGTGTCTGGCACTATATAAATGCTTATTCCTATCCTCTTTTGGATTGCTCTAACAGGCATTTTTTTCTTACATCAGAAATAAAGAAGAATAATCTGTGAAATTTGGAAGCTATGATATGGTTGGCTTGGGTAACCTCCTTCTCTCTTCTATCTTCCCCACCATCCTATGTGGCAGCTTCCTCAGAGTAACAACAACAATAATAACAACTAATATTTATATTATACTGTGAGGTTTGCAAAACTCTCAGGAGGTAGGTGCTATTACGATCCCCATTTCACAGATGAAGAAACTGAGACACTGAGAGGTTAAGTGAATTGACCAGGGTCATACAGTGTCTGAAGCTAGATTTGAACTCAGTCCTTCCTGACTCCAGGTTCTGCATTCTAAACACTGCACCACTTTGCTTGGGTGCCTCAGTGTCTATTTCTCCCTATACAGGGTTTTGTGCTACTTATCTAAGGTGTAAGAAATTCTAGCTACAACTGTGGTAGGAAGTCACATTTGGGAGCATGGAGGACAGAACAAGGTGAAAAAGCAGGGAAGGAAGGAAATTAGCCAGGAGTGCCTCCCCTGAGGCACCTAAGAAGGCTTCCTCCCAAGGTTGGGAGGAATGTGGTGGGGCAGAAGAGCAGATCATCCCAGCCCACTCTTCATGAACACTCACTTAAGGAACCCTCTGGATTCCCTGTTGCTTGAGCAAGGATGCTGAGGGTGTTGCATCACTGTCCTGACCTCTTAAATCACCCTCCACCCCATGCTTTCTTTCAAAAAATCTTATCTTGATTCTTCCCTACAGAAGAATGAGTGGCCAGGTTGGTGAAATTGGAAAACAAGGCATAGTCCCAGGCTCTGGATTGTAATAAAAAAGCTCACCCTTCCCATGGGAGTGCTGCCAAAAAAGGCAGGTTGCCCACAGGCTACTAGCCAAGTGCCCAACTGCCACCTAAGGAGTCCAAGTCCTGAAAACCCAGCCCCAGGGAGAAGCCTTAGGTCACCTTTCTAAAGCCCTCATACCCACTTCCCTCCCAGATCCAGATGCCTGCTGATCACAGCCTGGAGACAGCTTCCACAAAGGAAGGGGTTTAAAGGATCCAGCCAAGCAATGGATTAAGCTAGGGCTAAGGACTTGCAAAGTATGCAGACTTTCCTTTTGTAAAATGTAAGCCACTTGAGGGCAGGAACCATTTTCATCTTTGCCTTGATGTATCCCAAACTCCTAGCACAGTGCATGGTGGAATATTTTGGAATTTCTCCCCTAACAAAGCTCCAACCTTTCTGCTCATGTGACCCTTCCCTCACTCAGGGAAGCATCTGGATGGTGTTTAGTGGGGAGATGAGAGGGTTATAATTAGAAGGCTCTCAAAGGACATTCACAAGGAGGGGGGCTGGGGAGAGGATGGCATATTTTTTTCCAAGGCAAATCCAGCCAGGTTCTGATAGAATCCATGTCCCCTGGCTCTGCCCTTTCCCAGAGGGCAATCTGTCTCTGGCAAGGGTGGGAGGGGTGCCCTAAAGGAGGAATTTTAGTTTGTAGATGTAGTTTGAATGTTACATTTGGATTTTGTACAGGTATCCCAGGGCCTACAGGCATGAAGCATACTTTAAACTAATTCAAAAAATAGAAAGCCAGACAGCTGCAGATCTTATCAGCTATTTTTACACTCGCCTACTCTATTCCATCCTCCCCACTCACAAGCATCACATTCCTGCCAGAGTGGCCCACTCTTATGGGGGAAGGGGTGCCCAAATGGAGGGAGTCCTCCTGTCTTAGAGAGTGCCCTGTCTTGCAATTTACAAAGGGCCAGTGGGAGACAACCCTCTGGAACTTCAGCCCTGGATCCAATTCAATCCATCAATAATGTAGCAAAGTGTTGGAGATGACCAAGTCCCTGGCTTCAAAGACCCTATATTGTACTTATATTCTGGAACACAGAAAGAGGTTGGTATATATGCAGGGAGAGGGCAGGGGGTTGGGGATGACAGAAAGAGAGAGGGAGAGAGAGAGAGAGAGAGAGAGAGAGAGAGAGAGAGAGAGAGAGAGAGAGAGAGAGAGAGAGAGAGAGAGAGAGAGAGAGGAGGGTTGGGAAAGGTTTTCTGCAGTACTTGAGCTAAGCCTTGATGGGAACTAAGGATTCTTAGAAGGTGAGGGAGGAGTGTATATCAAGCATGGGCACAGTCTGAGGAAAGGCCTGGGGAACATGGGGAACAAGAAGGTCAGGTGGACTGGAAGGTTGGGCATGTGAAGGGGAATCATGGAAAACAAGTCTGAAAAGGGTAGGCTTTGGAGACAGGTTATGAAAGGCTTAATGTCCAACTGAGGAGGCCATAGGTTATCCCTAGAGGCGATAGGGAGCCACTGATTCTCAAGAAGATCTATGATAGGTTCAGATGTGCTTTGGAAAGATGATTTCCCAGAATTTCAAACCATGGCACCATTCGTTACTTAAATTCCTTCACTCTAATCTTAGAGGCAGACTCCTGGCCCCCTCTCAGTGAGGCAAAGTATTTCAGAAAACAGGGAAAGAGGGAAAGAGACCTTATTTAAGGCATGGTCTAGACAAGGAAAAGAGAAAGTCGAGGAAGTATTTGGGTAATCCTGGTAGGTCCTGCTATGGAGGGAAAGGGAGATTTGTTTGTTTGATTGAACAAACCAGGCTATTGTCCTGCCTGTCCAAAAATTAGGTACCATACTTCACCACATTTTTCTCTATTGAGATAATGGCTCTATGAGCAAGTGAGTTACAGGGAATTTTGCTTACCTGAAATCCCTGGAGATTATGAATTAAATGCCCTTTCTATATCCTGGGACAAAACCATCTTTAAGGTAGGTCCATCTTCCACGATCTAATTCCTTACGGATTTAGGAAGCTCAAGAACACTGCATTGCAGTCTGAGGACCTGGATTCAATCCAGGCTTTCCTAGCCATGTAATACCTGTATGTGACCTTGGGTAGGCAAGTGCCTTTGCACCTCAGAAACTCAGTTTCCCCATCTGTAAAATGAGGGGGTTTAACTAGAGATCAAGGGTTCATAGAATCCCAAGGATATAGTTAGATTTTGGGTGGTGGGGAGTCCATAAACTTGGATGGAAAAAATATTCTATCTTTGTTTTCACCAACTTCTAATTGAAATTTAGCATTTCTGTCAAATTTAAAACCATTATTCTGAGAAGGGGTTTCATAGGCTCCACCAGACATCACCAAAGGGGTCTGTGATACAAAAGGATTAAGAATCCGTGGACTGGTGGATCTCTAAGGCCCCAGTCACCTCTAAAGTTGCAATCCTGTGTGGTCCTGTGAAGGTGCAAATTTATCCATTAGATTGTAAGCTCCGTGAGGGCAGGGGCTGTCTTTTGCCTCTTTTCGTATCCCCAGCACTTGGCACAGTACCTGGTATGTAGTAGGCACTTAATAAATGTTTACTGAATTGAAACTGAATTGTACTGAAATCCATGGGAAGTTAAAACAGAAACAGACACCCTTTAAAGAAACTGCTAAGGTAGGCAACCTTCCTGATTCCTACCATACAATCAATAGGCATTTCTTGTCTGTGCACCAAAATTAGTGATGGTGGAGTTCCTTCTGGCTTGTATTACTACCTTGTGTTTTATCGAATGTTTATTTATTTGTATTTCTTTATATTAATTTTGTCTATACACATACAGGTATGTATGCATATGTATAACATTACATTTATATATGTATATATTTCTATAGATGCGTGTATAGAAATATGCATTAATATATACAATATTGCATGCGTAGATGTAGGTGTATTATGTATATATATTTAATGAGGCTATATGTGTGTGTATGTATATGTGTGTGTATATGTATATGTGTGTGTGTGTGTGTGTGTGTGTATACAAGTATGTTGTCTCTCTCATTAGAATGCTCCTTCTTTCAAGTATGGTTGACTGTTGCATGCCCTCCGGTAGTTTCTTATTTTAACTAGTTATTCTTGCTAACTAGGTGATCAGCTGACTTGTTCTTACCTGGCTGGAGGAGTATGTATGTGTTCTCATGACTAAAGGTAGCAAATTTTAAAATTTTAAAATTATGGAATTTCTCAAGTTCATTATTTAGAATTTCTGCCCCCTCTAAAACTCCTTTGCCTCATCCTAGTTACAACTTTGCTAAAAGGGCCCTGAAATAATTGCATGAAATGTCAAGATATAAGTCATTGGAGGCAGGAAACAAACTTTCAGCTAGGGCCTAGGAGTTCCCAGATGGGGTTATATCATTTGGATGACCCAATATGATTACAGCCCTGGATTTTAGGGGGAAAAAAACCCTCAAATTTGCTTGCTCTGAAACACCGATTTTTACTGCTACTGCTTCAGTTAACTACAAAATTATGTGAGCCAGAGACACAGCATAATCCATGTCTCTGGTACTGGCAAATGGTGAGCAGATGGTGTCTTCCCGAAAGGCGGGAATATTGGGGGAGACAGCTCCAGCAGTGAGGCATTCCAATATGTCACGTGTGCTGCACACACACACACACACACACACACACACACACACACACACACACCCCAAAGGGACAGTGAAGAAAAGGCAGACGTCTCCACTTTGGAGAAGCTGCTTTGGGGAGGCTGCCAGGGTTGGAATCCTGGCTCTGCCACTCGTTGGCTATGTGACCTCAGGGAAGTTAATTAACTTCTCTGATCCTCAGTCGCCTCATCTGCAAAATGGGCACAATAGAGAATTGTTTCACAAGATTATCCTGAGGAACAAGGGAGGAAAGATATGCCGAATGCTTTGAACACTTTGAAGTGCCCTGTAAACTCCGGCGTTATCGTTCAGGGTTGAAGTGGTTGGTGAAGCCTGGGCTATCGCCTTCACCAAGAACAACATCATCATCATCTGCAGTGTTGTTTCCTGTCTTGGTCCCTGACCCAGGCTGACCCCCCTTCTCTCAGGATCAGGGACTTGCTCTCCTCTGCCTGGCTGAATCCTCCCCATGAAGGACCCACTCAAATCCTGGTCCCCCTCTGCAGTCGCTCAGCTCCCTGTCTAAGCCTGTGAAATGTGCCATGTTTTCGAATCCAGGAGAGACAGGGAGAAAAGGAAGGGAGCAGAGGGTGAGCCCATTAGAGGAATATCTGAGGAATTTGCCCTGCTGGGTGGAAAACAAGAGAAAACCAGGTCTGGTTTTGCCCTGAGATGTAGATGGGAGGCAGAAAGGCAACTAAAGAGGTGCTGTGGATAAAGCCTTTGGGTCCTGCCTCAGACACTTGCTAGCTGTGACCTCCTGGGTCTATCATTTAACCCTTTGAGCCTCAGCTCCTCATCTGGGAGTGGGGGGAGGGGAGGATGAAGAAGGTAATAAAAGCACCTCCTCCAAAGTCTGTTGTGATGCTTGGATGAAATCACATTATGTAAAGCATTTTGCAAGCCTTATTGCAAGTACTTTAAAGGGCCCTAAATATCTCATTGATTTGTTATCCAAAAAAGAATCTTCTAATCTCATAGGAGCATAGGTTTCTAGCTAGAAGGGGTCTCAGAGATCATTTAGTTCAGCTTGAATTTTACAGATGGGGAAACTGAGGATCAAAGCATGAAGTGATCTGTCCAAAGTTACACTAGCAGTAGTAGAGGCTAGATTTGAACTCAGGTCCTCTGACTCCAAAGTTTTTTCCACTGTACCCTACTCTCTCATTGAGCTCTCACTGAGCTAGTGGAAAAGGTGGGGAGAAGAGGGACATTCATGCTTTCATTCCACAAGTATTCATCAAGCACTTACCATATTCAAAGCACAAAGACAAAAATTAAATCAGTCCCTGCTCTTAAGAGACTTCCACAAACCTATTTCAGTACAGCCACCATTTTCTATAAGGTTCCAGTTCTCAGAGCATAAAATGTCACAGGTCCAACCACACCCACATTCTTCACAATTCCATTGGAACATGTCCACAAATACGGACAAGCCAACATTCTTCAGAATCACACATTGTACTAACAAACAATAGGTGTCACAGCATGCTTGCTAGAAGACTTGTGGAACCTTCGTTCCCACAGCCACCCAGCCCACCATATTCCTTTCTCCCCACCCCACCCCCCTCCCACCCTGCCTTTGGAAGGATGCAGCTGCTCCTTTTCCCTATCCCTTCAGCACCAAATGTCCCCTTTGAGCAAGTTCTCATGGCTTCTTAAGAAAGGTGGGCATGCCTGTGTCTGAGCTTGGCTCTGCCATGACCTGCATCTTCTGGTTGCTCAGGGTGGCCTCTCGCATCTTGTAGTACATGAACTCATTCTGTCGGAACATGCGCAGCTCCATCTCTGACTGGACGCGCATGGCCTGTGAGGAAGCAGACACCCCCAAGGGTAGGGGTTGGGGAGAGAATTTAGGAAAGTCCCAGAGTTGGATTTCACCCAAGAGCTTGTAGGCATCTACCGTATGGCCCTAGAAGCAGGGTCTCCTTTTCCAGAGGGGAGAAGATGAGCACCACCCAGATACTGAACTGGACCACTGCTGGCTCTAATGCTCTATTGATCATAAGCCCCAACCAATAGCCTAGCATTGTGGGAATCTGCTTAGCTTTCTGGGCAGTGAATTCTTTTGTGAGTCTCTAAGGACTATTGCTTTGCCCAGGTTTAAGGGATTCTTCTCAAAGGAGAGGAATGTGTGTCTTTAGGGATCCTCAAACAAGGTCTGCTAGACTGCTTGACTCACACGTGGAAAGCTCTCTATGTATCAACTCTCCCTTCACCTTGACTCCCTAACACTACCTACCATGACCTTCAGACCAACTAGGCTCATTCCTAAAGGAAGGAAGGTGTGGAATCTTGACCAGTCAACCAGATATGAAGCTTCTATTGAACCATCCCAGGGAGATCGTCTCAGACTCTCCCCTACAGTATCAACGTGGCCATAGTAACAGATAACACAGTTCATGGGATAGGAGAGAGGGAAGCAAGAGAAACATACAGACCACTTGCTCCCTAACCTAAGCTCCCAATAGGTTAATAAACCAGTCAGGGATGTAGGCACCAAAAGAATGGAACTGTCCCAGTATTCCAGATAACTGTGCACACCATGATCTTCAGGGGGCACCTGAATCAGAAAAGGCCATGGTGGATGCCACCCATGCCCATGCCCATCTACCAAAGGCAACTGGGGGTCAAGAACATAAACAATAGCATTAAAATAAACTAAAGCTTTGGGGAATCAGGTCGAGTTAAAAACTCAGCTCCCTGGTCCTGTCTGCAGACTCCTCAGTCCTGAAATTCCTGCAACAATAACTGGTCTTCCTGCTCACCTCAATTTCTTGCAGAACTCTGCACACACACTGGTACAAAACTGGACTGGCTTCTCAGGCTACACTTGCTTCCCTCTAAGCTTGGCCCCCACCTCCTCTGCCCCAGGAGTGGGTAAAAAGGATTGCCCTTCCCCTGAGCATGGGTTTACTGTTGTGTGGTTACTATACTTATGCTGCTGATTAAGTAATCATCCAGTCTGAGAGAAACAATACCTCCCCCCAAAAAAATTAATTAATGTCAGGTCCAAAATGGGATCCCACAAGGCTCAAACAAGAGCAGAAGCCAAGCAGGGGTAGGCTGGTAAATGTTTAACAACTGGCTTTTCTCCCCACTTCTCCATGCCCTCCCAACCCCCCAATGCAGGGTGTTAAGTTTAACCTGAATTATTAACATTTTTCTCCATCACTTTTTTAAGTCTAGACAATCAACAAAATAATAATTCAAGCATCGATTTATAGATTTTGCCAATTTCCAGGTGTAAATGGTTGCACTGGCTTCAGCACACCCCTGACTGGTCTTGTGGGATTTCTTGTTCTTGGAGTACGGATATCTGGGGATGGGAGTAGAGATTTGTAGCCAGGGAGGCAAAGTACAGGATCTCAGAGCAGACTAAGGATGCCACCAAAATGACCATTTATTCCCAGAACAATGCTTGGTACCCAGCAGGTACTTAATCAATGCTTGTAGAATTGTTAAATCTATCTCCCCCGAAGTTTTGGCCCTTTATAGTGCTCTGCCCCAGTTATCTCTGCTATGATATCATGGTCAATGATCAATTCACCATGCCCCATTCTCACCCAGATGCCCGGGCAAGCCTGTAAACTCAGATATCCATTAGTAAGGAATTTGGTCTACCTATTTCTGACACTTACTAATGTATTTTGCACACAGCAGGCACTTAATAAATGTTTGATAAGTCCAAAAGGTCTCTGATAAAGTATCAACAGTGGTGCAGAGGATAAAGTACTGGGCCCGGAGGCAAGAAGACTCATCTTTGTGAGTTCAAATCTGGCCTCAGACACTCATTAGCTGTGTGACTCTGGGCAAATCATTTAGCCCTGTTTGCCTCAGTTTCCTCATCTGTAAAATGAGCTGGAGAAGGAAATGGCAAATCACTCCAGTATCTTTGCCAAGAAAACCCCGAATGGAGCCACAGAGAGTCAGATATGACTGAAAAATGACAGAACAACAACTGCCCATAGGAGACTGCTTAGTGTAGTCCTGAATTTAGAGTCAGAAAGACCTGAGTTCAAATCCTGCCTATGTGGGACTCTGGAAAAGTCACTTAAGAGTCTCTGTGACTCAGTTTCCTCATTTGCAAAATGTACGTATTGGACTAAATGACCCCAGAGGTGTCTTATACTGCTGGATCTATGATCCTATTAATCTTTATATGCTTCAGACAAATCTTAAGTTTAAAACATTGTAATCTGCTTTGGGGAAAGGCATTACCAGGCCAACAGTTCCCTATGTCAATGAAATCATGTTTCTTTCATGGATTCCTATGGTACCAACTACACTCATGTTGCCACTGAGCCCGGTATATTTGCCTGAAGCTGATTAGAGATGTTAGCTAAGGTATGAACAATCAGCAAGTACTTATTAGGCACCTACTGTATACCAGATACTGTGCTAAGCACTGGGATACAAAGTTATGTCCTAGCATCGCTTACTGATAGTAGGGATTTTAGAGGTCAATGAGTCCAGCCCTGTCATTTTACAGAGAAGAAAACTATGCTCCTATTGCAGTTTTTCAAGACAAGCCATGCACTGGGTAGGCATTAGGGGGTCACCTACTTCTAGGTCCTTAGTGATTGGGTGAGTGGGTCCATGAGTCACCAGGAGTATGGCATAGGCTTTGCATATCATTCCATGCCCAGTTTCGATGAGCCCAGCGTGCCAGTGAGTCAGTCCTGCCCGCATGACAGCCATGCCCAGCTGGGCATTGTTAGGGTGGTAGAGCTTCCTGAAAGGGCACAGAGAAGTAAGTCATCATGTCAGAGAGGAAGCTCTGGGAAGGATGAAAAGAGCCAGACTCTCCTCCAGGATCTGACCCCAAGGGAGGACATGTCTACCTAGCAGTAGCCCGAATCTCTCCTCTTTTTTTTTATCAATACATCAACACATTAAAATCACATAGTAACTACATTTTAACTTGGTTTGGGAAACACTCAGGTGTGCTGTGGGCCGCAGGCCTTGTGTCTGACACTTCAGCTCCAAAAGGAGATTCCTCATCATTCCTTATGAAATCGCCCACTCCCTATCTCTAAGGGAAGACTCTGGGAGACTTACGGGAAGGAAGGAAGGAAGGAAGGGATTTATCCAAAATGACTATAATGTTAAAAGGCATAGAGATGCTTTGAGGCATGGGGAAGAGAGAGAGAGAGAGAGAGAGAGAGAGAGAGAGAGAGAGAGAGAGAGAGAGAGAGAAGGAGGAAAGGGAGAAGGAGAGGAGAAAAAGCAGGGGAAAGAGGGAAGGAAATAGAAGAGAAGGGAAGGGAAAGGAAGGATGGAAGGAAAGGGAAAGAAGGGGAAGACAGGGAAGAGAAGGAGGGAAGGGAAAGGGAAGGAAAGGAAGGGAAAGGATGGAAGGGAAGAGAAGACTGGAAGGAAAGGAAAAGGATAGAAGGGAAGGGAAGAGAAGGGTGAAGAGGAGGGAAGGGGAGGGAAGGGAAGGGAAGGAGGGAAGGATAGAAGCAAAGGGAAAGGATAGAAAGGAAGGGAAGGGGGAAATGAAGGAGGGAAGGAAAGGGAAGAGAAGGGGAAAGGGAAGGGAAAGGGAGGGAAGGGGAGGGGAGAAGAGGGAAGGGGAGGGGAAAGGAGGGGAGAGGAGGGGAGGGGAGGCACACCCAAGCCCAGCCCTAATTGCCTACATATAACCATCGACCATCCTCTTGGCGTAGTCCGAAGCCTCCTGGAAACTCTGCAGGTAGGAGAGCACTTCGGAGGCGATGCTCAGGATGCGTAGCACATGGATGTTGGTGTCGGCCAGCACGGACTCCTGCTTTTGCAAACACTCTCGACATAACTTCACCACCTGGAACAAGGTATCAGACACTTCACTGACAGACACAAATGTAAACCTCCCTGGGGGTGGTGCTGCTGGCTACTTGCTGCAGGGCCCCTTCCAAGCTGCTGGGACCTACAGACAACTGCCCGCCTTGCGCATGGTTTTTGACCCATGTTCCTTTCCACCTGGTACAGTTTAATTCAACAAGCGTGTTTGGAGCACAAGGATTGAGCTAAATACTGAGGGGCATGCAAACCAAACAAAAATGGTTTCTGGCTTGAAGAAGCTCATCAGCTGAGGGGAGGGCTCACATTTCCATAGCTCATCTTTAGCTATTCCTTTGTGACGCTCACCTGCATTGGTGGAGGGACTTTTGACGCACAGGGCCAGTCCCCATCCCAATCCTTTACAGTTTACAAAGCATTGTCTGTCCATAGGCTCATGGTTTGGGAGCTCAAAGGGATCTTAGAGGCCATGTAGTCCATCCCCCCCGCCTCCGCCCCACCACTACCCTTCTTGTTTAACAGATTAAAAAACCTGAGAAACAGAAGCCAAGTGACCTGTCCAACATCTCATAGCTAGAAAGTGTAGGAGGTAGGATCTGAACCTGGGTCGTGGAGACTTCAAGTCTGGCAGTCATCCACTGTGGCTCACTGCCTCCTGCACTTCCTCATCTGATCCTCATTCTAACATTAGGCAGCTAATGTGAGTATTAGTATCCTTATTTGACAGATGAAGATACGGAGGCTGAGAGACAGTTGACTTGTCCAAGGATGCACAGTTACTAAGTGGCCAAGCTGGGGCTCAAGCTCAGGCTGTCTCGTTACAAGGGGCAGTGGTTTTACTATGACTCCACATAGTCACCAGTTGTTTGAATCAGGTACAGCTCATGTTCTTGTCCTGGTCTTCAAGGCTTCTTCCATGAATCAGCCAGTTGAATGTAAGCTCTTTGAGGGAAGGTTCTTCCTTTGGGAAGGGGAGCAGCTAGGTGGTGCAATAGTACATAGAGCTCTGGGCCTGGAGGCAGAAAGACCCATTTTCCTGAGTTCAAATCCAGCCTCAGACACTTACTAGCTATGTGACCTTGGCCAAGTCACTTAACCCTGTTTGCCTCGGTTTCCTCATCTGTAAAATGAGCTGGAGAAGCAGATGGCAAACCACTCCTGTATCTTTGCCAAGAAAACTCCAAATGGGGTCATAGAGAGTCATATACACAACAGCATCCTTTCTTTTTTGCCTCTGTATCCCAAGTATCCAGCACAGTAACTTGCATGTAAGAGAAATGGAGTTTTTAAAATTATTATTGAACTGAATCATTCCACCCTCCGGAACATTTTATCTTCTTCATGCCGCCAATATTTGTTGATACGTCTTAACTAGGAGGCAGAGACCCAAGGAGGTCGGCAGCAGCATCCTGCTTGAGCCCACCTGGTGACTGGTCCCTAACTTTGGGCTTATTCTAATCCCTCTTTGACAAATTCTGTGACTGTTGGCACAGTCCTCAGGCCTCAGCTGACATTTGATCTCCTCTGGTTTCCCCAGATAGAACAGCTCCAGGTATTCAGGAGAAGCAGCCCCCACAACCAGCATGGCTCTAGGTAGTGGAAAGAGAACGTGGGTTTGAAGTTCAAGAATCTGAGTTTGAAGCCCAGCTTGGTCACTTGGGCAAGAGACCTGGCCTCCCTGAGTTTTAGCGTCCTCATCTGTAAAATGAGGATGTTGGACTGCTTGAGTTCTGAGGCCCCTTCCAGGCCTAGATCTGTGATTCTTTGAGAAAAGAAGGAAGGAAGGAAGGAAGGAAGGAAGGAAGGAAGGAAGGAAGGAAGGAAGGAAGGAAGGAAGGAAGGAAGGAAGGAAGGAAGGAAGGAAGGGAGGGAGGGAGGAAGGAAGGAAGGAAGGAAGAATGGATGGATGTATTAAGCATGTATTATATACCAGGTACCATACTAAGTGCTGGGGATACAAATATAAGCAAAAAGAAAGGCAGTCTCTTCCCTCAAGGGGCTCACACTCTAATGAGGGTAAAGGGTGGGGGGTTCCCTGGGAAAGGAATGAGCAGCTCTTCTACAAAACAGAAGTTCCAGAAGGAACTCATCAACAGGAGAAGAGTGCAGGCTTACAGAGGGTTATTTTAGATTGAGAAGGATGCAGAGATGCCTGGATGTTCCAGGGCAATGAGATCCCAGGAGCTGAGGAAAGCCCAGGATGAAACAGAGGCAGAGGCATGGTTTCAAAATCAGGAAGCCAATAATAAGGCAAATTGTTAGGACAGCTGGATGGCACAGTGGATAGAGCACAGGCCTTGGAGTTAGGAAGCCCTGAGTTCAAATCTCACCTCAGACACGTACTAGCTGTGTGACCCTGGACAAGTCACTTAACTTCTCTCAACTTCGATTTCCCCATCTGTAAAATGGGGATCCTCATAGCAACTACCTCCCAGAGTTGTTGTAAAAATCATCCTCATAGCAACTACCTCCCAGAGTTGTTGTAAAAATCAATCAAGATAACATGTATACACTGCTTTGCCAATCTCAAAGCATTATATAAATGATAACTATTACAGATGAGGAAACTGAGGCTGACACAGGATTCTAACTCAAGCCCATCCCTGGGATGCTCTCCCTCTTTATCTCTACCTCCTGGCTTCCTTCAAGCCTAAGTTAAAAATCCCACCTTCCACAGAAAACTTTTCCCAATCTCTCCTAATGCTAGCATCTTCTCTCTGTCAATTATCTCCATTTAATCTGGTGGATAATCTGTTCGTACATCGTTGTTTGCTGTGACCATGCTGTTTCTCCCATTAGAGTGTGAGCTCTTCAAGGACAGAGATGGTTTTTGCTTTTCTTGTATTCCTCTCACTTAGCACAAGTCCTGGCACATGGCTTGTGCTTAATAAATGCTTGTTGACTTAACTACTCACTGTGCTATCTGCCTTCCCAGCTCCCATTGACATTAACTATAGGGCTCCATGTTGTTGTCATCCCTCACCTAGGAAAACCAACTTTGGGATTTCAGATTAATAGCACTTTCATCACGCCCCACTTCCCCCACTAGAATGTAAGCTTGAGGGTAAGATCTGTCTTTCTTTTTGCTTTTGTATTTGGATCCCTAGGACTCTAGAGTAAAACTAGTTACTCAGTTTTTGGGATAAGCAGAAGGTGTGGTGGTCCCTGTCTCCCAATGGCCAAGTTGGGATACCAGCCATCTCCAAAAGGGACATCCCCAAGGCACTTGGGTCTCCATGGTCCCAAAAGCTATTTCAGAGGTTGGCCAGGTGGGTAAGGAAGGGGTCAAGGTCTCAGTGAATGGGAGCCTAAGAGGACAAGGATTATCTCTAGCACCCTCTGTTCCTGAGGGAGCCTCCATCCCCTATCCCCTTCACCCCATCCCACCCTGTCCATTGGGAGAGTCAAGCTCTTACTTCATGGTACAGCCCTTCTGAGCGAGCCTTGTCAATCTTCTCTAAAGTGTCCTTGGAGAACTGGGTCACCTCCTTCACCACATCCTGAGAAGGCTGGAAAGAGAGAGAACAGCTGAAGTTAAGATGCTTGGGTGGAAAGGTAGCCACATTCCTGCAGTAACCACGATAAGACAATGTGTGCACCACCCTCCCTCCCCAGAGAGCCTATCCCTCTTCTCTAAACACAAGGGCAGGGCACCTGGAATAGAGAACTGGCCTCCCAGGCTTCCAGCTTCCTTATCAATCCTCTTTACTGCCCCATAACTCTGAGAGCCACACCCTACCCCCATTGTCCATCCTGATTCAATATCCTTAAAACTGGGCTTTGATCCATTCACCCAAGGACAGGATTTCAATTCCACTTAATTCAGCAAACATATATTAACTAAATGCCTACTACATGGCATAGTAAGAAAAAAAAAAGATAGCCTTAAAGCCAGGAAGATATGAGATAAAATATCACTTCTGACACATAGTGGCTTTGTGACTTTGGCAGTGGGGTCAAACACAAATAGAAAAGTGGGACTGCATATTGATTTAGAAAACCACAAATCAACATTATCTGTATTGTATTATATTTTTTTATTTTGTTGAACATTTCCCAATTTCATTTTAATCTGGATCCAGCCACACTCAGGACTGTGGTGGGCTGCCAGCTGCCAGCAGGTCTGGAGTGTGTAACCCCTCTGCTTGAGTCAACTCTCTAACACTTTGAGGTGCAGAGGAGGTATAGACCAGCACTGATACAGGGAGTTTCCACATCTGGCAACTTCCTAGAGGAGGGAAGGAAGGAAGGGGAGGGAAGCCAAGAGAGGGAAAAGTACTAAAGAAGTGGCAGAGGAGAGGAGGTTCCAGAAATTATTTCAGTAAGAGAGGCTTGAAGGCCTGAGCCAAGCTATGAAGAAAGCTAAGCATCCTACCCAGGGTGGCTGAGCCTTGGAATCAGAGAGAAATCTGTCATGTGACTCAAAAAGTAAGGAATGTAAAATAGAACTAGAAACCAGAAGGGGAAGATGTTGAGTCATGGACAGCATCAATAGCTCCCTACCTAGTTTCATTCTAAGAGTCACCAAAAGGTCTCCTTTGCCCCCCAAAAATGTATGACCACATTGTCATATAGTCTGCTAAGGAATTTGAAATTCCCATCACCACTCACCAGAGGCTGTTAGGTCCTGTGTCTGACATTAACACCTAACAGTCAATTTCTCATCATTTGATGGGTTTTTGAAGCCCTGGAACATAGGGCTGATCAGTTTTGAAGAAGGCAAGGATAGAAAGTCCACAGCTCCCAAAGGGTGGGGTCATTGGCTTGTGTGACTCTCAGGAGTAGCCTGGCAAAAGGACTTGGAATTGGGCAGATCTTATTTTCAGGGAACTCTCTTCCCTTTCTAAGCCTCAGTCAACTCAACTGTAAAATTCACCTGTAAAGAAGAGGATTAAAATAGCACCCATCTACCAGAGCTGTTGTGGGGCTCAGGAATAGTTTACCTTGCTATAAAGGTTTACAATGCACTTTCCATACACATGAGCTGAGCTGATCAACTGAATACATGTATGTAAAATGATCTGCACTCTCCCCAATTGATAAATGGTGAAAGGATATGAACAGGCAGTTTTCAGATGAAGAAATTAAAGCTATCTATAGTTACATAAAAAATGCTCTAAATCACTATTGATTAGAGAAATGCAAATCAAAATGACTCTGAGGTACCACATCACAACTATCAGAGTGGCTAACATGACAAAACAGGAATATGATAAATGTTGGAGATGTGGGAAAATTGGAATACTAATGCATTGTTGGTGGAGTTGTGAACTGATCCAACCATTTTGGAGAACAATTTGGAAATATGTCCAAAGGGCTATAAAATTGTGCATACTCTTTGACCCAGCAATATTACTTCTAGGGCTGTATCTCAAAGAGATCATAAAAATGGGAAAAGGACCCACATGTACAAAAATATTTAGAGCAGCTTTTTCTGTGGTGGCAAAGAATTGGACATTGAAGGGATGCCCATCAATTGGGGAATGGCTGAATAAGCTGTGGTATATGAATGTAACAGAATACTATTGTGCTATAAGAAATGATGAGCAAGTGGACTTCAGAAAAACCTGGAAAGACTTGTATGGACTGATAATGAGTGAAGTGAGCAGAACCAAGAGAATGCAGTAACAGCCACGTTGTGTGATGACTAACTTTGATAGGTTTAGCTCTTCGCAGCAATGCATGAATCTAAGATAATTCCAAAAGACTCATGATGGAAAGTGCTATCCACATCCAGAGAAAGAACTATGGAGTTGGAATGCAGACCGAAGCATACTATTTGCTCTTTTTTCTTGTTTTTTTTTTCTTCTTTCTTGTGGTTCCTCCTATTGGTTCTAATTCTTCTTTACAACGTGACTAATGTGAAAATATGTTTAATAGGAATGTATATGTAGAGCCTAAATCAAATTGCATGCAGTCTTGGGGAGGGAGGCAGGGAAGGAGGGGGAGAAAATTTAAAACTCAAAACTTATGGAAGTGAATGTTGAAAAGTAAAAATAAATTAATTTTTTTTAAATGATTTACACTTTATAGATGTGAGCTATTATTATTGTTCTTCCCTAGGGTAGGGGCTAAGAGTTTCAAGATGGAAGGATGGTGGTGGGAGGAACAGAAGGAGGATTAAAGAAATGTCCCCCTTATTTCACCACTCAGTCCAGGGCCATCCTATCAGATCTGAGATTTGAGGTATTTAGGCAGGGACTTTCTGAGCCCAAAGGTTGCTATTAAACCTTCTTGACTTATACCCTCTGGACCTCTCTCTACACATTGTCCTGTAGGAGCCTAGAGCTGAAAGAGAACTCAACCAGCTTGTCCAATTCTGTCATTTTATAGGGCAGAAAATGGAGGCTCCGAGAAGGGAATGACCTCTCTTCAGTGACACAGGTAGTCAGGGCACCTGGGATGGGCAGGTAACATCTTACTCAGCCTAAGTAAGTGTATAGAATGAAGGCTGAGAACATCACCCTTGGCTCACTCAGGTAGATTTGGTCACTTGTCCTGGGGCTACTTAGAGTCAAGTGTCACCTTAGGGACGAGGACTGGATATGTGATTTCACCAGCAGAGAGATTTCTCTCTACCAACCCAAGAGTGCTGAAGGGTCATTCAGGCTAAGTGAAGGACATACCTTAGGGTCCTCTTTCACTGCCAGGAAGAGGTCATCTTTTATCCCCTTCACACAGTGCTCACATGTGCAATCGAAGTAATATTGTTTCTTCAGCTGCTTCTTCCGTTCTTGGCTGATGTTGAGAAAGTCTACATAGGACACGGTCAGCTCCTCCCCTTCTGAGATCTTCCCCAGGGCCCGAAGCTCAATCCTGGGTTAGGACAAGAGGTAAGACAAGAAACCCCAAGTGTAGGCACCTCCGCACAGTGCTTGACACACAGTAGGCACTTAAATTATTACTGGCTGGCTGGCTGGCTGGCTGACTAATTCTCCATGAGTAAACCTAAGGGCTTTGGGGCTTTGTCCTACGGTACTGAAATTTAAAAGATACCCATCTGGTAGCCACTGTAATAACTAACTCCACCTCACACTCACTTGGATTGGTCTCAATTTCATTATTTTCCCATCATGAACTACAAAGTTGATTTAAGATGCTTTATTGTGTTGCTTGCTCTGGACACCAAAATTCCCATATGGCTCTACATTTGTGGTTTTAAGTTCAGGAATGCCTGGTGATCCCAAGGTTCAGGTATTAGACCCATTTACCGACAACCTCAGAGAAATTGATTTCCCACTCAAGAATAAAGATGAAGTACACACATACACACACACACACACACACACACACACACACACATACACACTGCAATTCAGGTAAAATACAATACAGGCTTTTTGCACAGGTGCTAATTTGAAATGGAAATGAGCCAAGAGACAAAGGCCATATCTGTGCCCATGAACTTAACCAATGGCAATTCGTTTTGTTTTGTTTTTTGTAATAATAACCTAATGAGGTTCATTGGAAGACTAATCAATTTATTATTTTGTGATCAGGCCCAAACAGAATGGAAAATGGTTGGTGTGGTCATGAGGCCAGAAATGGTGTTTCATTGACAGCTCTGGGGGTATAGTCAACTCTTGATTATCCAGGACAAAGAAGAAAAGTAGAAGTAGAGATAACTTCCAACAGTAGATAACGCAAAAATCATTTACATTTTGTTTTGAAGAAGCTCTGATTGACTTATGTTTTTTCTCCATTCTTGGCTGACCCCCAACCTTAACCTTCACTCTTGACTTAGCTCTAGTTTCAATCACCTGGAATGGCCCAAAGATCCCTGCAGATAATCAAACATGGACAATCAAGAGTTGGCTTCATTCCATCATAGTATATTATTTGCTTTTATAATGTGCCATAATATGCATGCCTTCCTGAACACAGATTCCCCCTTCAACTGACCTATCCTATCTGGACTTTACTTCCAATTCCTTTACCCACCATTTAACCATGGCACCATCTTTCAGCATAGTGGCCAAAGCGAAGCCCATTCTATAACTGACATCCAGCTTAGCCAATCATCATGAGGAACAGCCCATGGAACTCTGTCATGCAAATCAGCATTGGCCCATAGAACTGGAGCCTAAAAGAAATCAAGATGGGATTGGTCCTCTGCCTGTTTGGTTGCCAGATGCCTCAAAGGACAAACCAGGGCATTGAGAAGGGAGGGAAAGAAGGATAAAAATTGGTCGAGGGCCTTTAAAAAATCAGCATGGCAAAATAGAGAGCTGGTTTTCAAGGAAGAACTGGGTTCAAATCCCACCTCTGACACAAATAGGCTCTGTGACCTTGGGCAAGTCATTAGTCTAAAACTCTGTGTCGAAAAGAAGGTGCCAACCTTCTTTGGTAAAAGGAATGTCCTCATCTGGTAGTTCCTTAAGCCAATATCACCAACCCCTGCCGTTATCTGACGCTATCAAAAGGCAAAGAAGAATAATAGCACCATAGAGGGCATCTCTGCAACATAAGGCCAGGCTTCCAGGTGAACAGCTAGCCCAGGTGCATGATGGGAAACTCCTATGCTAAAGCATTCATTTGCTCATATATGATCATTGCCACTTTGTGGCACATGCAGCAACCAGTTATTAGGGGTAAAAAGATCACCCAAACTGGGATCAGTTAAATGCCAGGCTTTTGTGCCTTCCCCATTGCTGGGCTTCCTACCGACCTGCTGTGAAAAGAACTGGGAAGGGATATGGAAAAGAGTTGATCTCCGCCCATTAACAGTGACTCAAAAATTGGGCTGAGGGTAGTAGGATGAGATGAGAATTTGTCTGTCCAACACAAGTCAAAACCTTCTGCAGCTAGGTGTCAAAATGGTTAGAGCACTGGACCTGGAATCGGGAAGACCTGAGTTCAAATCCTGTTGCAGGCACTTACTAGCTGTATGACCCTGGGCAAGTCACTTAACTCTTATTTGCCTCAGTTTCTTCAAGTGTAAAACGAGGAAAATCATAGCAACTACCTTCCAAGGTTGTTGTTGACGATAAAGTGAAATATTTGTAAATGCTTTGCAAAACTTAAAGCATTGTATGATACTAGTTATTATTATGATGATGATGATTATGATTATTATGATTATTGTCATTTGTCTTGATCCAGCCAAAATCCAGTGGTTAGCTAGGATCAAGATTTCAACTGCTTTATCTCTACTCACTGCCAAGGTCACAGAAGCAAAGTCAGAGGATGGGTATGACTCCAGATTCTTCTGAGTCCAGGATCAGAGCTGTTGCTACTACATCAAATGGAAGGCAAGCTCCTAAAAGGTCGAGTCTCTCTTTTTTTTCCCTTCTGTATCCCCAGCACCCGTACAGTGCTTTGCACATAGTAGGACCTTGACTGAATTGAATAATTGAAATCAACCCAAACATACCAGGTCACAATTGTCCTCAATCAGCAAAGGGGACTCTAAAGAAAATCAAACCTCATCTCAAACATCAAAACACATTTCTGAGCCATTTTACTGGATGAGAAATAGGAGACGTCAGAGAACACACAATCCTTTAGTATGTCAGTAAGATAACCAGTCTTCATTTTATGGTAAGCAGGCTTAAGGGAAGGGGTTCTTAACCTGCTGTCCATGGACCCCCAGGGAGTCTGTGGATAAATTTTAGGGGGTCTGTTAGCTTTTTAAAAAATACTTCAATAGTTGTATTTCAATATCATTAGTTTCCTTTGTCATCCTACAGATTTTTTTGTGCATTTGAAAACATTATTCTGAACAGGAGTTGGTAAGCGGGCTTCACAGACTTCCAAAGGGATCCATGGCACAAATGAAGGTTAAAAACCTTTATTCAAGGTGTCATTTTGTATTTTGTGTAACTAGATCTTTTAGATCTGGAAAGATTCCATGCTTGTCAGTCAAAGGAAAGAGAGAAGTAGAATAGGAGAAGATGGAGGAGAAAGGGACAAAAGGACAGGGAAGGTCCTACGGGAGTTGGTGGAATGGAGAACAGCATTATTTCTTCTTAAGTTGCACACAAAATATGGCAGCCAAAGGATTTGGGACTGAGCAGGACTTTGGGACAATGGAAAAGGAATTGTGAATTTGAACACACAGCCAGCCTGGGAGGCTTGGAAGAGGACTGGCCCACAAGCAGACCAAGCAAGTGAGGGGAGGGTCGGAAGAACAGGTGTGTGCTTTGACAAGACTGACCCACCTCATCTGTGTGTGAAACATAGATTTCACAGCCTCATGACTGAAAGACAAAACAGATAGCGCAGGTGACTTATGAGCAACCTCACCGGAAACAAAGATGCTCAAGTTGGTTGGATACACCATGGTTAGCATGCGTGAACAGGATCAATAATTCCAGCCAGGCTCCCATGGTCACAAAGCTCTCCTATCACCCCTCCTTCCCCGATGTTGTAGGGTCATTTTACATTCTCTGTCTACTTAGGTTCACTAACTGGATAGAAGTCTGAGAGGAAATGGGCAATGATGGATGAGAGTTTTCATTTGGTTCTAAATCTAATCTCATGCTCATGGGTGGCAGAAAGATATATGCATCCATCACTGAATGGAAGGATCCCTTTTTGAAAGAGATGACGTAGTAAAGGAACAATTACTGTAATGATCAGACTCATCATGATATTGGGTCACAGTCATCATCCCCACCGGGTATTTGCAATTTTTAGAAATTTGGAAGCAGGGAAACCTGTCCCGTGACTACTGAAAAGGCTTCTCTTTAGTAGAAGAAGCTGGGGTTGGCATAATTACTGCTATCTAAAGGTAATAAAAAGGATAATGTTCAGTCCTCTTTTGAAGTTGCTGGTTGACCTTTAGGAATTTGCTCTTAGATTTTTAAAATCAATTGCCAGAAACATCTTAGCAGGTGTTACCCCACCTTTGCCACCCACCCCAGGCAAAGATCTACTCACCTGCCGTTGTTGAATATGACGGTACAGTTGGGCCAGCAGTCATGGTTCACCAGGCAGAGGTTGGGGAAGATGCCCACCCCCACGGCCTGAAGGCCCCTCTGGTCACTGAGAGTGAAAGCATTGCAGTTGATCTGCCCAATGGGAGGAAAGAAAATAGTACAGCAATCATAAATAGAGTACTACAGAGAACCAAGAGGGGAATGGTGGACGTTGAGGAAGATATAGCCTCTAAAGCCAAACTAAGGGAATTCTAGTCCTCAGCTTAATTTCATGTGGCTTGCAATCAAGCTATAAACATTTATTAGGCCCCGACTATGTACCATGTACTGTGCTAAGTTCTAGGGATACAAAAAGAAGAATAAACATGAATGTATAATCAACCGCATAATGAATTATACCTTTGTGATTATAAGTACTGATGGAGTACATATTCTAGAATTAAGTGTCACTTTCTCCATTAATTCTCAGTAAATACCCTAACGGTCATTGAATAAATTAAAACAAATCATCATTATCATTGTAAACCTTAGAGCAAATATGTGCATGAAAGAAAGAAAGAAAGAAAGAAAGAAAGAAAGAAAGAAAGAAAGAAAGAAAGAATGAATAAGCCCCCAAAATTGCTTTGGAAAAGACTAGAATTTTTCTATTATTCCCATTTACTGCTAGAAAAATAGCATAGAAAAGGGAGGTGGCTCATGGATCCAAAGCCCCCAGTGAGCTGAGGCCCCCTGTCTCTGGGATCTCTGCCCAGCAGCTGGTATGAAGGTCCTTGTCTAGCTTACTTGGTCCCCAGACCATGATCCTGTCTACATTGTGATGGGAAACCCAATAGTAGCCCTTTGCTTGTCCTATGTCCTGTCCCATGTCCTTGGTTCTCATGACTTCTGAGTTTTACCCTCTATCCCCCCAGGTCAGGGGTTCTTAATCATTTTTGTGATCAAGTCCCCCCTTTAGAAGTCTATGAAGCCTATGGATACTTTCTCAGTAGTTTTTTTTAAGTTAATAAAATATATAAGATTACAAAGGAACCAGTTATACAAAATATGGTTATCTACCTACTTGTCTATTTTTCTACTTGTCTATCTGTATATCTCTCTGTTTAACTATCAAGTTCTCTGTTTATCTATCTGTCTGTCTGTCTGTCTGTCTATCTTTCTATCTATCTTTAAATTCATACACCCCAGGTTAAAACTTCCTGCCCTAGGTCATATTCCATAGCTAACTGTGAAGGCAAGATACATTTTTCCTAATCGTCATGCTAGGGAAGAGATTGCCATGACCATGATGGTGGCAAAGCCCAGAAAATAGGAGGGAAGCAATCAACTGAGCATCCATCGTGGCTGACCAATGCATTTTTGTCCTTCTCCAACCTTCTCAAGCTCCACATGCCCCCCTGTCCTCTCCCAAGCCTTGATCTGGGAGCCTCAGAGGCCCAGGTTTCTCAGTGCAGACTGTCCCTTCTCAGTTTGGACTTCACAACTGATGCCAGGGGATTTTATTTCCCTTTTTTCCTTTATAGGAAATTCAGCATTTTAGCCCCTGGGATTTGTCATGCCATTTTAATTTTGTGTCCTTGTGCCCAGAAACTAAAGTAGGGGTGGGGAGGAGGGGTGGGAGGGAGATGTGAGCAACAGGTGCTTCAATAGGAGCCAGAATCAGCTGGGAGGACAGAGGAGTGAGTAGGCTGTCAGGGATTGAGGAGGGGTGGGGGAGCGACTCCCTTTACAGGAGCAGCACAGAGTGATCTGCCTTTGTTACAAGCAGAGAAACCATCACGCAATCTCATGGCTTCTTCCATTTGGGGGAGGAGAAAGAGGAGGAGAAGGAGAAAAGGCAGGGAGAGGAGGAAGGAGGGAGGAAGAGAAGTAGGGGGAAAAGAGGAAGAAGAGGGGAAAGAGGGGGTAGGAGAATGGGATAGGGGAGCTAGGGGGGAAGGTGGAGTAGGGGGATGGGGAAGGAAAGTGAAGAGATGGGAGGGGGAAAAGAGGGAGTAGGAGAGGGGGAGGAGGAGGAAGAGGGGGAAGGGAACCAGAGGGAGCAAGGGAAATGGGAGGAGAGGTCAGGGTGCCATACCACTCCGAATATATGTGAGATATACTGCATGCTGAATTGCTGGCTCTGGGGGGGCCAGAAGTTCAAAAAGCTGTCCACATCCATTCGAAGGTCTTTCTGCTCCTCTTCCCCAAAGTTGTCCACATGATTCTGCAGGTCATCCACGGAGACCAAGCAACCTTCCGTGAGTCCAGTGCCCTCTCTCTCTACGCGCCACATGATTCTGGCCGCCAGCCTATGGATGATGATGATGATGATGATGAAAACAATGATGAAGGTGGTGATGAGGGGAGTGGTAACTGAAGCATATGAGATTCGTGAAGCGCTTCACACACATTATTTCACGTGATCCTCACAGAAGCCCTGGGAGACAAATGCTACCAATATTGTTGTCCCATTTCACAGACGAATCAACCAATAAATATTCATTAAGTGCCTCCGTGCCAGGCACTGTGCTAAGCACCAGGGACACAAAGAGAGGCAAAGGTTAGTTCTGATCCTCAAGTAGCTTACAATTTAAAATGAAGTTGGGGTTCAAAGTTACTAACTGTCTAAGGCTGGATTCAAATCCAGGTCTTAGGATCAAAAAATCAGAGCTGGAAGGGACCTTAAAGTGAGTTCAACTCTCATATTACAGAAAAGGAAACTGAGAAGAAAGATGAAATCTTCCTGGCCCCAAGTCCAGCACACAACCCACTGTATTAGGCTGCTTTTCACCAGGGAACGCAAGGATGCTAGGTAGATATTTAGGTAAATCACAGGTCAGAAGAACCCACAAAAAACCCAACCCACAATCATTCCATTGGTCCCTTCAGTATGTCTCTGTCTCTGGCAAGTCTTGAGGGGGAGGGGCTGGCCACGAGGGGAAACGTGGGGCTGTCTCCTGAGACATCCACCACCAACGTTACAATCCAAACATTCAGGGTTCCCTTCATAATTCACTGTGGCTCTGTCTTCTGGACATTTATCTAGACTTTTAAAAAAACAATTTCAATTTTCAGCACATAGTAGGTCTCTTAGGATTGAATATAATTCAATAAACATTTATTAAGCATTTCCTATATGCCAGGCACAGTGCTAAGAGCTAGAAAGTAGAAGAAAAACAGCCTGGGTGTCTTCAGCTGTCTCACTGTCAACCAAACTTCAGGTGTAAAAGGGGGTAATCAAGTGGATCATCTTACCTAAGGTCCTTCCTGATCCCTGCCACCCCCTAGGCACTGCTACCCTCTTCCAATTACTATGCCATTCGGTCATAATTACTTAGACCTCTGGGCAAGATCAAGGTATACCCAGAGAAGTTCAGGGACCTCCTTTACACCCTGGGGCAACTTGTAAGTCCGCAGTTCTAGTTCTGGCACCTTTGAGGCCACAATGGTACCTGGCATGCTTTTCCCAATCTTTTTCTCCACCTTGAAATCCAATGAGTATTTCCTGGCTCCAAGCCTTGGTCCTTGACTGATGAAAAAAGACCTGGAATCCTAGGATAAGGAATTGATGTGACTGATGGAGGTGGGGGGGAGTTTGGTCATTTATGGGCAGGGGAGGAATGATATGTGTCAGATCCAGTGAGGGGGGGAGTGGTTCAGACAGTGAGGTCCCCTACCTCTGTCAGATAGGCTCTCCCCCTACTGGTCTCACCCGCTCTCCTCACTTTTAAATGGTCAAGTCTGACTGTTTGACTATTTCGCAAATGCTGAGTCCAAGTCCAAGGTTCAGTGATTGGACCCTGGGTAGTAATTACAGTTAGTTCCTAGAACTATATTGGAGGAATAGGGAAAGGCAGGTCCATATGCTGTAACTAAGGACTGCACTATCAGGTGATCGGGAAGAATGTGACTTGACAGGCTGAATGCCAGAACTCCTGATTTCTGTCTACCTCGCCCATTCACTTCAAGTCCCTTTTGCAATCCTGTCTCCCTGTGAAGGGGGCTGCTGCCTCCACCTTCAAGGTTATCATTTCCCAACAGTTGTATTCAGTCTGACATTTAGCAAATACCTACCACGTGTGAGGCCCAGCACCAGCAATAGCAATTTTCCACCTCCACACCTTTATACTAGTGGCCCCCCCTGCCTCAGAGAAGCCCAAGATACCCTGAAGCACAGCTCAGTGGCTACCTCCTCCTTACAGACTCCCACATGGGGAAAAAAAAAAAAAGATCAATCAGACTCCCACATGGGGGCTTTCGGGATCCCCGTAGCCATCAGTACTCTCTCTCCCTCTCTTGAAATTTCATTGCACATAGTTTCATTTCATTTCAGTACATTTCATTGCACACAGACAGAGAACCATGTGATTCCTGGGCGGTCTGGGCCTCCCAGCACTACCTGTTAACCCTGTATGCTGACATGATACCTCGGTGGGGGGTGAAGGGTGGCCTGAGATCAGTCTTATCCCAGAAGGTAGATTGTCCTTAGACAGCCACCAGCCATATTCTTGTTTCATTAGTGATCAGAGGCTATGAATAGAAAGAAGCCATTCCTAGGGCTCCTGGTTACTAGGAGCCAAGCCAACAAGCACATGGAGTCCTGGGGGGGGGAGGTGTGACATTGAAGCCAGCCACCAAAATGAGCCACGGACTACAGACCCAGAGGAGCCCGGAAGCTAGGGACGTAGGTACATCGAGCTTGCTACCCTTCATGTCCCTAAGGAGAACCATTCTTGTGCACGGGCAGATTCTAAGAACTGTCCACCGGTCTGGGGTCAGACTGTAGAGCTGGCATGGTCTGGGGGTTGGAACTGGGTATGTGCCTCCCAGCCAGCCCTTGACTTTGGTGTGAGACTCCCATGTTGGGAGGTACATCTCTACCTTGGTATGTGCCTGGATCCAGCATCTCCAAGCTACCCTCACCCTAGTCTGTGTATCATCTCCCCCTCCCATAACCCTTTCCATATTAACCCTGGATGCACTACATCAGCAACTCTCAAAGTCTGGTCAGAAGCCCCTCCTCCCCCCTCCCATCCCCTAGATCCTTTTCAGGGGAGTATGCAAAGTTAAAATTATTTTCATAATAATACTAAGATGTTTTCATTTCTAGATCATACTATCGAGATAGTATCATGTTATATTTATTATATTCAGTCATTTTCGGTCATGTCTGACTCTTTGTGACCCCATTTGAAGTTTTCTTGGCAGATTGGTTTGGGTTGCCATTTCGTTCTCCAGCTTATTTTACAGATGAGGAAACTGAGGCAAATGGGATTAAGTGACTTGCCCAGGGTCACACAGCTAGTATAGGCTTTAGGATAAAATTCAAAATCCTCTGGCATTTAAAGCCCTTCTCAATCTGAGCCCATCCTCCCTCTCAATAATTAGTACACCTGACTCCCTTTCACGTACCCTATTTCCAACTAAATTGGCTTGTTATCCATTCCCCATATATCCCCCTAGTGTATCCCCATGGGCATCCCAAGATTCCATTTCCTGCTTCCAGCTGTGCCCCATTCCTGGAATCCTTAGCTTCCTTCAAAATTCAGCTGTGATGTCACTTCCCACAGCAAGCCTATCTTGATGCCCTCAATATCTAGTGCTTTCCACCAGAAATTACTTGGTATTTTTCTGGTATATATTGTGTAATTACTTATGTTTACATGCTGTCCCCCCCACACACACGAACAGAATGTCCGCTCTGTCTTGGTATCCCCTGCTCTAGCACAGGGCTGGGCATACAGTCGGCGCTTAGTAGATGCTTGCTCACTGAAGGTACTTTCAATAGGCTAGATGCCTTGATTTCTTTGAGGCTGTGGGTCCCACAGGCCCACACTTGTTTTCAAGGCTTCCATCTCCCAATCTAGGGCTGCTGGCATCCAGCAGGCCTCATTATTACCCGGGCGCACCTCACATCCCACCACCCCTTGGTCCCATGCCACCTCTGCCTCAGTTCTGACCTGATGTTTTCACTGGGTGGCTTCCCATGCTTCTTGATGGCAGTGCACTCATTCTTGTGGTTCAGCCAGGCATCCTTTTGGCAGGTCCTGTCACAATAATGGGCAAACTTGCACTGCCCACATCGCTGGAGCTTCTCCTGCCTTTTGAAGCAGGTGTGGCACACGACCTGCGTGAAGCTGGAAAAAGAAGAAGGAATCAGCAGGGCAAGTCCCGTGCCAGGAGGTGCCCACCATGGGGATAGCCAGCATCCAGGTGGGTACAGAGGAGAGATGGAAGACCTCTCACTCCCTAACCCACACTATCTGATTCATTGGAACAAATAAACCCAGGGAGTGACAGCAGGGTGACAGTATGGTCAGTGGTATGATCAGATTTAAGGTGATTCCAGAGAGATCCATAGTGTGTGACCTGAATAAGTCACTTAGCCAATTGGTACCAATCTAATGGCAACTCTAGGCTGTATCAGAAGAGAGACTTTCTGTGCTTATCAAGGTCTAGATCAGACAAAACAAATCAAACCCCACAGACTGGGGGTGTGGAAGTGAATGGAACATATATATTTATACAGGGGGACGGAAAGATTTAATGCAGTTTTAAGCATTGATAAGACTTAATAAGCTTTAAAATTGCACTAATACTTTTGGAACACCCTATAAGATATACATATTTATGTATACATTATATCTATACAATATACGTATTACATACATGTGCATATTTTTATGCATTATATAAACTATATGTCTAGTGTGTACATATTATACATATAACAAAAATAAAATAACATTTCATAGCATGTTATGTCATATGGCATTAATATAATAATAACAGCTAACATTTATATATGTGCCAGGCACTGTGCTAAGCACTTTATACATATTATATCATTTTATCCTCATGACATGCCTGTAGACACATTTAGGCGCTATTATAATCACCATTTTACAGATGAGAAAACTAAGGCAGAGTTATGTGACTTGCCCAGGGTCTGAGGCCGTATTTGATCTGAGATCTTTCTGACTCCAGGTCCAGTGTTCTATCCACCAAGTAACTTATTTGTCCCCAGTGTTCTGTATGTATTACATATTGTATACATATATGGGAGAGGGGTGCGTGGAGTAGTGGCCAGAGATCTGGCCTTGGAGCCAAGAAGACCTGAGTTTCAGCCCTGACTGACATAGTGTCTTGTGCAATCCTGGGCAAGCCACTTGTACTAAAAGCAAATCGTTACAAGTTGCAAAGAGGGCACTAGTCTACACCATCATAGGGAGGTCCCTCCCCTTAGAGTTCCTTCTACTATACTGGATCACAGATTCAGTCCCTATCCTTATATTACATATAAAATAATCACATATAGTCCCCATTTTACAGATGGAGAAAGAAGTACAACAAAGTTAAATAACCAGCTTCGTGTCACACAAAGCGATACCAAAAGTCGGAAGGAGCCCTGGGGCTGCTAAGTCCTGGGCTCCCTATTGGAATACGGTACCTCAGACCCAGGCAGCCCTTCAGGTTTTCTAGAAGGCAGCCCCTGAAATGATGCAAAGGAGCTGAAGGTTGGCAATAAGGGAGTAAACAGGAGTTACGAAGACTTTGTAGCCGAAGCCAGAAGCTTGGGACAAAGATGTGGATCCTTGTTAGCAGCAGAAAATAGATGCGAAGACAGATGAAGTGCCCAAGGCTGTAATTAACTAGTTGGATGTTCTACGCTCTAAAAGAAGTGGCCGCTTGGATGTGCCTCAGAGAGCTGACAAACTTCCCTCTCCCGACTGAGACAAAAGCCGCCGAGGGGAGTGGCTGTATGAAAGAGCCAAGGTCTCTAGACTCTAAAGGAAAGATGGCATCTTCCCATAAGGTAGCACCTCAGACGAGGACTCCTGTAGAGGAGAAATAGGTGGTGGGTAGCAGTAAGTATAGCCTGGTACAGGAGGTGGGAAGGTTGGGGGTGGAGATGGGGAGGAGAAAGACAGAGGCAGAGAGACAGGGAGAGAGAGGGGAGAGGCAGAGAGAGAGGAAAGGAGGGTTGAAGAAGGAGTGAGGGAGAAAGAAAAAGAGAGGGAGAGAAACAAAGAAGAAAGGGAGGGAGAGAGGGAGAAGGGGGAAGAGACAGAGAACCAGGGAGAGGGAGGGAGGAAGTGAGAGATGGGGAAGAGAAAGAGGGAGAGAGCAGAGAGAAAGAGAGGAAGGGAGGTTTAAAGACTGAGGGAGAAAGAAGCCGAGAGGAGGAGAGAGAGAAAGAAGAGACAAAAGGAGGGAGAGAGGGAAAAGTGGGGTCGGGGGAGAAAGAGAGAGAAAGGGACAGAGACAGGCAGGCAGAGACAGAGACACAGAGGGGCAAGGAGCAGCAGCGACATAATGCCCAGAAAGAAAGGACGCGATTATTCCATCTTTTAGAATGCAAGGACTAGCAGGAAGTAGTTTGTATTTTGTTAATAACATAATAAGACTTAATAAATTCTTGTTAACTTGACTGACCCTTGTAGGTAGAATTAAAGAGTATGGGGCTGTGCTTCTTTTCCTTGAGATCTAGAACTGAACTACTTTATTTCCCAACAAGATCATTTCTCCTTGAAAACAAGAACTGTGGCTCATACTTATTTTCTGTCCCCCACATTCCTCCTTCCCCCCCCACCCCGTCCCACAGACAAATCTAGTCCAGCTGTAAATACAGTCAATGCTCAATAAATTGGGGGGATTGATTAGTTGGGAATGATTTTGAGGAACTCAAGATTTTTAAAAACAGAGTCATATATCTAGAGTTAGAATGGACCTTAGAGGTCACAGAGTCCATTTTACAGATGAGGAAACTAAGGCTCAGAGTGCCCAAGGTCACAGGTGGTAAATGGCATCCTAGCAGTCTTTCCACTATGTCACAGTCTCCAAACTATAAAATAAGGGTTAGCCATCACACTTAAGTAGCCGCACGTGTTGGATGTTTCTGGTAACAGCTGGTGCCTGGACACAAGGGAAAATCAGCAGGTGGCAGGATAAATGAGCCAGCTAGTTAAAGATAGAAAGAGATTCAGAAGGGTTTAGACAAATTCCTTGGTGATTGCTTCATAAATATATGTATTTGAGTTCTATCTCTAACCTTTACAAAATCGAGGGAGTAACTGCCATGCAGATGTGCCCTGCCTGGACAGATATCCAGAAGGAAGATAATATACCAATGGACTTATGTGGCAGAGTGAAATGGGCACTGGGTATCACGTTAGTTAGAAGGTGGTTTAGAACTTGAAGATCTGGGTTTGAATCCTGACTCTGCTATTTACCACCTAGGTGACCTTGGGCAAATAATTTTACTTTATTCCATTGTATCACCTGGGAAACAAAAGGCTTGGTTTCTAAATCCAATGACACATTGACTTTGTCTGGGCCAAGACCTTTTCTTCTGGCTGAGTAGAGCATGGATTGACCCTGGAGCCAAAAATCCCACATTCCAATCTCACATCTCTTACCACCTGTGTGACCTTGGTAGAGTGACTTAACCTCTCTCAGCCTGTTTCCTCATCTGTCAAATGGAGAAGTTGAACCAGTTGCCCTAGATGGCCTCTTAAGTTCCTTCCAGTTCTAGATTTCAGGTCCTACATGTTTCATTCATTCTTTCAACTAGCATTTTCAGCCCTTGGCCAAGAACAGTCCTCATATCTCTTAGGACCAAGATAAGACATGGCGCTCTAACAGAAAGAAGGCTGGATTTTAGAGTCAGGGGCCATTAGGTTCAAACCCTAGTTCTGGTCCTTCCTGCCTGTGTGACCTCAGATAAGTCAATTCTCTGGCCTCAGTGTCCTTATCTGTAAAATGAAGGAATTGGACCTATGATCTGTTAAGTTCCTTCCAGCTCTTAATCTCTGGTCCTTTGCTCTGTAAGCAAAAGGCACAAAATGGATTGGACAGCATTTATTAATTGCCTACTGTGTACCAAAGACTTGGCAAGGTGCTGGTGCAGGAGGCAGCACCCATAGATCAGTGGAAAGAGGACTGGCTTTGGAGTCCAAGGGCCTGGATTCAAATCTACACTCAGCCATAATGCTATCTGAGGACCTCGGGTTGGTTCTTTTACCTCTTTGGGTTTCAGTGTCCTCCTCTGTAAAAATGAGAGGGTTGGGCTAAATTACCCTTTATGCACTAAATCTATATTCCTGGGATACAAAGACAAAAACCAAACATGCCCTGCTTCAAGAAGCTTATGTTCTTTTAAAGGGGCAGTGGAGTGTAGACAATGAAATGGATGAATGACATGAACAAAAACAAATAGAAAATATATATGTCAGACACACAGCAATTTGGGGAGGGGTCTAAAGGAGAGCACTAGCTCTACTCCAGAAAGTGGCTTGGTTCAGGATGTGCATGGAAATGCAAAGCACCTTGCAAGAAGAGCCAGGACCCTCTGGAAGACAGGAGCGAGCTCAGTCTGCTTTTCTGCCCACATTTCTCTCATTCACATCCTAACCTGTTGGAAGCACAGCCTTCATGTTGCATTATATGCATGCACCCTGGGCTGCTCCACTTAAATCCTGGTTACGGCTCCCAGGTGTATCAGGAGTGAAATGCCCTCTGAAAATACTCTCATCTTCAAGATAGGGCTACACACAGGGAATCAGAGAACATCAACGCTGTTGGCTTTTCTCTCTGTGGTTGTTTTCTGGTAAAGGGACCCTCTCTCATCCCCACACTTCCCCAACCCCCATGGAAAGCTTCCCTTTTTTCTATTTTTCTTGTTTTTATCTCTCCGGTGGATGCTTCTTCCCTTACAAGGAGTGAAGCATCAAACTGCATCTTCCTGCCCCCTTAACTCTGACAGCTGATGGAAAACAGTCTAAGTCTCCAGGCCAGCTGCTCCCCACTCCCCCACTGTCACATAAACCAAAGCCTGGGTGGATGCACTGGGATTACTGCTGGGCTGGCTCCCAAGAGCTGACATTGGCAATAGAGTGTCTTTCTCCAGTCCCCGTTTCTGGTGCCGGGAAGCTGGGTCACATGCTGAAGGTCCCCCCACTTTGCTCTGGGGTGCCAGTCCATACAACTAGGTCCAGTGCAGCCTAGTGTAGTGGGTGCTAACAAGGCAAAATACAAGGCTGAAGCGAAGGCAAGCACTGCTGATGGTTAGCAATCCTGCCTTTGTTAAACAGCTTTAGACACCAAGGACCATCAAGCATTTGTTAACCATGCACCA